AAAATTTATGTTGCCAACGCACTCCACTGAGCTCGATCTCCCACCAACCCAAACAGCTCCCCAAACCATCATGCTGAAACCACCATGCTTCACAGTTGGCTGCAATCTGTTGAGCCAAAACTCTTTGTGAGGCATTTTCCAGACCCACATCCTTCCATTGTCCGAAAATTGAGCGGATCTTGATTTGTCTGAGAACAATACGGTCTTCCAAAAGTCAAGAGGCTTGGTCATCATATCACTTGCCCACTTCTTTCGTCTGACTATGTTGGCAGGTCTAGCTGCTCTGCAACAATAACCCAATCTGTGGATAATCCGTTGAACAGATTTCGGCCTCATCCCACTAACTTTGGCCACTTATGCAGTCGTTAATCTGGGATCCATTTCGATGCTCCTCTTGACAGCACCTTTTTGTCCTCTCCGATGGACCAGGACGACCCGGACGCTGCTCAGTTGTTTCCTTGCCGTATTTCCTGAACTGCACGATGATTCTGTTGACTATCGAAAGCGGGATTCCCAAATTCTGTGAAATTTGCCGCTTACTTATTCCACCATCTGGTTACTCCACTCACACTTTCCACCCATCCTCCCCATATCTGTGCATTTTTTTTTTTTTTGCCTAATCACAAAGTAATGATTATGCTCTACAGTGTAGAGGGAGCCAGCTGCACTAATAAAGTGTGTTGCACTCCTGTTGGTTATAACATTTGTTATATGTGTAAACACCTGATGTTAGGTGGCGAGTGAAAATTGTGCATATAGAGGGCATTACAAATCAAGGAAAGTTATTATTTGAGGGGAGGTAAGTGTCTATCAGAAATACATTTTCAGTGTTGGAAAATGTTAACTTTCAGTAAGTCTCTAGTACTTGACAGTTAAATATGCAATGTGACAAAAGAGTTTTACTGAAGAGAAACTTGCAGGTTCAAAAGCTACTTCTACACTGTAAATGTAATTATTCTTACCAGAAACATTTTTAAATGTATTATAAATATCAATAATAATAAAAAAAGAACAAATAAAATGGCATTAACTTTAAATTTTATTTGTTTCGAATAACTCACTTTTGAAAACAATGGGTCTCTGGTGAAAGTTTATTATAATTGTAAGAGGAAATATAAGGTAAATAAGTAAATGGTATTCCCAATGTAGAATTAAAAAATATATAAAACACATATAACTTCTAAATAGATAATAAAAAAAATTATTTAACTTAAAATTGGTTGACGAACTTTGCTTAAACAAAAAGATTTGATTAATCTCTTCAAAACAAATTATCAAATTAGTGAATCTGTTTTGTTGTTTAGTTTTAGTGACAGGTGCTGTAGTGTTTTATTTTTTTCTCTGTACTAGTGGGTATAGAAAAAGGATTTTTTACTTTGTGTTTTAAGTTTTATGTGGGAGGAAAAGGATTATTCATATTCATATTTCTCACTAAAATTTATAATGAATATACTGCAATTTTTTAGTTATACACTAGGAAAATCACATATACAAATTATACATCACACTATTCCATGGAAACACTTGTTTTATATATGGGTGTTCTCTGTTCATTTGGAATGTAAAAGCATAAAGCAAGTGTATTGCAATTCTGTGATGATATTTGATAAAAGATGCAAGATTCTTGTTTGTTTATGGTGAACATTCACTGAAAATGTCCAGGAAGCTCAAGTAATTTCTGTGTATTATGGAGAATTAAAGTGTATTTCTTAAGTTGAAAAAAAAACTTTCTGATTTCATTTTATTTTTTATCATCTTTCTACTCCTGGAAATTGATAATAGATTGTAAAGCATTATTCATTCTGTTTGACTTTTCAAAACATTTATGTATTTACAGCAGTTAATTTATTATACCTACCCCTTTTACTATAGCATATATTAAGTGTGGTTAGCGTTGTTCTTATTTTATTATGATGTAAATAAACCTTCGGACATTCCATTGAATTCTAAAATTTGTTTTAATGCAGATTTTTTGTTTTAAAATTTATAGTATTTGAATATGTCTTCCCATTGCCAGTTTTTACATGCTATTTATCACTTTTTATTTGTTAATGAAAGAGCAAGGCTAGAGTCCATTTACTTACCCTCACTGTACATTAGTTTTTTTTCCACAATTTATCTTTAATATTTTAGTGTGCAGTTTTTCATTGTTTAGTTATTTAATTTTTTTTGTCAAACTCTTTATTACTTTGTTCTTCTTTTTTTTTTTACTGTTTGTTCATTTTCTCACCTCACCTTATTTTCTTAACATGTGTGTAAAAGTAGTTACTTCAAAATTATTTATTTTTATTTTGGCCATTCTAAGATTTTTTAAGGATAGATATTCAGCATTGATGCTTGTATGCACTTTTCTATTTAACTTTGCTAGACATCGGAGCCCTTTCTTTGTTCCTCTTACCAAAAGTTCTTACTTTTGTATTTTTTTATATATATTGTTCTCTTCTAAACTTAGTTATTTTTAAGACCATGTTGGTTTATTTAGGTTTTCACTTTAATAGGAACATATCAATATGTTTTAATTTTGTAAATTTCACAGCCTTTCACACATGTTTTCTTGATGTGATTTTTTTTTACTGTAGAACTGCTATATGTTTCATTATTTACATATTTTTTTTTAGGATTTATACATTTTAGCCATGTACCTTTCTGTATTGATTTGTAACATATTTCTTATATTTCAGTATTCTTTAGTTTGTAGGGTTGATTTTCGTAATTTTTATGCATTATCACCAATAATCTGACTTCCATTTCTTCACAAATTGTTTATTAAACTGTTATTATTAAATTTCAGTATGCTTTTTTCTTGAATTATTTAATTTTTTTTTTATCAAGACATCTAGTTATTTTATTAATTAAAGTTAGATCAACTGAACTTTTTCTAATTTGTTAAAAAATTTGGATGTGCTCTATATAAACCTTTTGGGAAATAAAGAACCACTGCCACTTTTTTACTCTTTTCGTACAGTTCTTGCCACTATCATGGTAGATCATTTGTCCTTGGCTGAGCTGTGCTTACTGACAGGCATTATCTCAGATACTTGTAACATGTGGTTATATGTTCTTGAAGTTAAATTTATATGCCTATACTCATATTTGTCATTAAGGTTCTGTTTTTCTCTGAGTGTTTTGATACTCAAACTATTTATATGTTATAATAATAGGATCATGGTTTAAGTTGTAATTTCTGTCATCTACTTGTGTTGCCCGGTCCTGTGATAAAGTATTTGTTTACTGAAATTACATGAAGTAGCTCTACTTAATCTAGTTTACTGTCCCTGTTTTGTACTTCTTAGTTATTGTTTATTACTTGGATGATATTTTGTTTGATCTTAAAAATAACAGTTTGAACTCATTCAAATGATTAGGTGGTTTTAATTTTGTGTTACTACCGTTGTTAATCATCTCTTTTTTTTTCACAAATAACCAAGGAGCTTGAATTTCCTGAGTTTAACCCAGTATCGTTATTCCATCTATGTATTCAGTGCTCTCTTTGTGCACTTTTATCTTGTGTATCAGTTTTTGTACTTCTCTTTCCTCATTGCTTTTGTTTGAGTTTCCAATAAATGGTTCAGTGATTTATTACCAGTTGCTTGAGTCATCTGTTATTTCACTAGTATGTCCCATGATATTATTGCATCATTTAATTCAATTCATTGGTAAGATTGTGTAATATGCATCTTTTTACTAGCTATCACAAGTTATCAGTTGTTTCTATCACTGGCATAATTTCTTTGCTTCCATTTTTTTTCCTTGCTATATCAAACTGTACTCCTTTTCTGTGCATTTCTTACTCTATCCTTGCTTGTTAAGACTTGTACATTGTTCCATGCCTCTGCTCTACTCATTTCTGAGGTTGGGCTCAGTATCATCATAGATAGAATCTAGCCATGTTCTAAGTGTGATAGAACACTATCACACTTAGAACATGGCTAGATTTGATAGAACACTATGATTTAACATAATTTTGGATGAAGTGTCTTCTAATCTCTCCCACAAGATTATCGAGGGAAGGTAATGAGTGCTTACTTGTGTAAATGATGGCATGTAGAAGGATAAGGAATACATTACATTTTGCTGTTATACTTTAGAACTAAACAACTAAACTGAAAGTAGCACAGAATACAAGAACTTAATATCCCATTTAGGACATGTGAATGAAAGTAAGTAGGATTTAAAGTTTTTATTTCTTAATCAGATCTTATGGATATGTTTTTCAGTATATTGTATGATTATTTTAATAGAAAATCATAATGCTAAGACAGCAAGTGTTGGAATTCCTTCCTTCAAAAGACAGAATGCTATGAATACCACAGGAACGAAGACTGTGAATATTACTGTCACAGCACAAGTGAACTCATCAGATTTTCACAATGATAAAACTGCTCCTTTTGTTTTGGAAAATCATGGAATAGGAAAATTTGGTATTGCACTCTTATTTCTTATTTTGTCATAAGATGATTATATTGTTACTGGAAAAATGGGATTTGTTTAAGACTGGTTTTATTAGTCTAGATAAAGTTCATGCCATTTTTTTTGAGAATTCTAAAGATTTAAATTATGTATGCTTGTTTTAAAATAACATAGATATTTTCAAATGAATAAATTTCCTGGATACATATTTTTTGGACTAATTTCTGTCTATGGTCTCAAAAGATCAAGTAATACTTGTATTTTTTAAATAAGCATTGGTGAAACTTTTTTTAGACTTTGCTTAATACTGATGTCTTTATTGTAATATATCATAATACTTAGTTTAACATCAGTGAACACATGATTTAGCAGCTTTGAATAAAATAAATCTGAAATTTAATACAAGTTTAATTTGTTAAGCATATTTGCAGTATGGATTTGCTAAAGGAGAAGCAGTGATATTGTATAGATATTATATATGGATTTTATGTTTATTAGGCACGTAGATTTTTTTACACCATCACTCACTTCTTGCATGTACTTTGCAAGCTTGATATGATACCAAGTTTTTTTCTCAGTCACTTGTCTGTTTTGATAATTAATATCTTGATTTTTGTTTATTTTAACAGAATGTTATTTTTCTTTCATTGTCATCTTCATTTAGATGTTTTGGTGGAAAAAAGAACAATAATAAATAACTGAGTTTTTTTTCTCTTTAATATTTTTATAAATAATGCTACTGGTGGAACAACTCTTCAACTTTGAATACCCTTCATGGATTTCGTCCTTATGTTTTTAAAGATATTCTATTTTAAGGCTTTTTTTTGTACCACTTAATGTATAAATATTTTATAGTAGTTCTTCTCATTTAGATGTCAACTTGTTGAAATTTTCTCAATTAGGATGAATTAAGTGGTGATGATCACATTGAAACAGTCTTACTTGCTTCATGGGTTTTTCTTCCACATGTTATTGTAGTAATTTTTCATGATTCTTCTTTCATTAGTTTGGGGTATGAATACTTCTCTTAGATACTTATGAGTATATAATTTTTAACAAAAATTTGTCACATCTAGAAAATAGGGATCCTTTCAATTAACATTTTGGAACTAACCACATGCTCAGGAATTTTCAAGACGTATCACAGTTGCAAAATTTTACAATCAAAAGTAATATTATGAACAGCATAGGACCATTTGATCCTTTATGGTTGTCCTTGCACACCCACTTTTGAGAAAATGTAAAAATTTAAATCCATCCTTTATTTTTCATGATTTTGTGAGTCTTGCAAAAGAATGAGTCTTGCTTATCTTTGACTTCCTTTAAAGTCCTCTGAAAACCATTGTCTGGTTCTTTACCTAGTTTTAATCTCTTAGTCTTTTTACTTACCACTAAAGAATTATTAACATCTACATGATTCAGATTATATCAAATATTTCCTTGGGAATGTTAGGATCAGGATTATTGCTAAAAAAAGTATTAAAAAATATTTTAAAAAAACATTACCAACAACATCCTTTAAGGATCCAAGTCCCATTTTTATACTTTCTTATCTTTAACATATTTAAAAAAAAAACAGTGTTATCAGCTGTTTCTCATACATCTTGTTGATTTTCTAATTTCTTTTTTTAACCAAATCTTAGATTTCATATCATTCTGTAAATATTAGTCCTATCTCAGTTGAAACCCCTTTGACCTGGAAAAGTGCTTGAAAAAAGACTTTGTGCTAATGTTTTGGAATAGTTCTTGAGAAATGAATTACTTATATAATTTTCATACATTGCATTGAACAAATTTAATTGTTGTAAGAGATGATCAGGAATTTTGATGGACAATCAAATTTAGTAATTGAAGTTGTCAAAAGGACAACCAAACTATTTCAGACTTCAAAGCTGTATGTGCTGCCTTGTGTGAGCATTTCAGCATTGAACCATGGAGATGCAACAGAAAGCAAGCAATGTGAAAATGTTATCAACAAAGTGATAATTCCAGTGTTATTATAATGTTTATATTGAATGGCTCTGCTGGCTCAGTTCAACTTCCAAACATACACACACACAATGGTTTTCATTTCTGAGGCATACACTGCACACCACCATTCCAGACTGGCACAGAAACTTCCAGAAACTCTACCTCTTGCTACACACACACACACACACTGTACTACAAGTCACAGCCGGCCTTCCAAGGTACTTGTAATAGTGCATGGAAATCCCCCAAACATGTGCACACCATGTAATAAATCTCCACATTAGTAACATCCCTATTCAGAATGCAAGGTGTCGTGAGTGATAGTTCAACCAGTCACAAAAGATGATTGCGCAGCTTACTGTTTGATAAGTTTTTTTGAGTGGAAGTTGACAGTTCCATTGGAAGGGTGAAAACGTTATCAGTTCTTTCAGTTGCAATACATTGATATGGCTGCTGAGAAGAAATATCTCCGGTATTGAGATAAAAACAAATACATGGACTTTTTGAGGGTAAAGAATGTTGAGTTTGTTTTGGTGCAAAATAATAGGACAGTTTAATATTTCTGAAATTATTTTCTCTTGAGAAAAGAATTGGAAGGGATCTGATTGAGGTGTGTAAGGTTATTAAGGGAATTGATGGTGTCACTGCACCATCTTTTGCAGTTTTCTTTTTTGGTACTTAATTGTGGGGATTATAGAACTATAATTATAAGGTATGTACATTATTTTCTTAACAGGGTAGTTGACCTTTGGAATGGGTTGCCTTCAAATATGGTGGAAGCAGTAAATTTAAGGGAAGGTTTGATAAATATTTGAATGATAAAGCCTTGCTTTGAATTTAAAAATATAGGTCTCATGATTGTAACTATAATTAAGAAGATGTTATAGATATATATTAGTTGTTGATGGGGTGTATAAATATAGTTAGAAATTTAACCTGAAAAATAAAAATGATCTGACTGTCTTATATTAAACTAATTTTGGTGGGCTCAAGTTATCTACTTCAAATATTTTAGGAGCAACAGTTAGTCCTTCTAGAGCATACAGCTCAGTCAGAAAACCCCCATCCACTGCTGGGACAAACATTACCTCAGGACAAAACCTTCCAAGTGGAATTCCAAGGCGTAAAACACATGACATAAAAACTACCAGCAGTGGAAAGAACACTGATCTGGAGTCTCTGGTTGGAAGGTATGTTATTATTATTTTTATTTCTAAAGGTCTTTCAGTAATATAAAATGAATAAAACTGAACATGTATTTACCACAGAAAATGTTTTTGCTTCTACTCTGTTTATAGAATATGTTAAATGTATTTTGTTTTATAAAACATTCAGTTAAGTCTAGTCAACGTGGTAAAGTAATTTAAAAAAAGAGCTTTCTTTCAATATGGTTGCATTTTGTTAACCCTTATATCATTGTTGGCAAACCAAGTGCAATATTTTCTGCATGTGTTAATTAAAAATATTTCTGAACACAATATAAACAATATACATACTAACTCGTTTGTAACAATATATATATATATACACACACACACACACACACACATGACAGAAAAACATTGAATTCCTACACCCATTATATATACCATTTATGATGTTTGTTAGAGCTTGCTGAAGTACTTCATACAAATCTGTGTGTTTAATTTATAAGACTATATCAATAAATTATAAATTTCTTACTGTTTCTCACTATCAAGCATAATATGGTATTACCACTCTCCTAAGGGTTCCCTATTTGCAAGCAAACCATTAAATAAAGTATTTTTAATGGGTGCTTATTAGCCCTAAAAATCTTTCTATTATTGACTGAAATTTTCTAGTCTTAGAAGCTCCAACTAGCAAGGAAAGCTTTAACACAAAATATAAATTTATTTGTGATATCCTATTCCAGGTAATATTGATTTGTGCTTACAGTAGGTTTATGTGTTAATATGTGTTTTCTTGTAATTGAAAAACAGTACTGATTTGTTGTATTTGTGCAATTCTGGTTCTTTCTTTTATACAATGACAAAATTGGTAAGGAAATTTAATTGGAGCTTTTATGTAAAAAATTTTGTTTAAAAAATTATTATTGATTAACAATCTTTTGAATAATTTATTTTGCAATATATTTATATTAATTTTTTTAATTAAGCCTTATGTTACCTAATTTCATAATGGGTTAAGATACATTGGACTTTTTTCTCTTAGCTTAAATAAAATGATATATATATCATTTTCTATGGATCATATGTGGATAGTGTTTCTTGTTAACTTAGATTAGATGTGAATAGATACTTTTGTTATTCTGAACTAGATATTTGGAGAATTTATTCTTTTATCATGGAGAAAATGTACTTGGAATTTCATTCTGTAAAAAAAAAATTCAATTATCTGGAGCAAGATACATAATAAATCTGCATGAAGTTTTTCTCCTTTTCTGTATAAAATATAAACTTCTCTATTGTATATAAATGACGAAGTTTTTATCATTTTCCCAGATAAAATGCAATTGAAATTTTTCATTGTTGGATAAAGGGTGTAATCTCTCCTGTTATCATGGATAAAATATTGACTAAATTTTTTATTTGAACCTAAAATCTGTTTAGGTTCTCTTCCATCACCTTTTACTATGATTTCGTACTTATCATGATAACATTTGCACATTAGTAGTCTTCATTGACAGATTTGAATTTTTTAAATTTTATAGCATTTGCAGAAGTTTTAAAAGAAAAGCATTGCACAGTTTCTGAAATGACAAAAGACATTTTAAATAGAACTTGTGTTACATGGTTTTGAAAATTCTCAGATACAAAAGGGTATTCTTGATCTGTGGTAAGAATACAAGGATGAGTACCTTTTTTTCCGTCATGAGTAGAACGGTATATAGGAATCTACAAATCAGTAGGGGCAGCATACAGTCAGAAGGCTACTGGTAACATCAGTAAAGGAACTCTTACCTTGTGTGAAGAAGCCACTCTTCACATATGAGGGGAGGGGGGGGATTGTCTCCTAGTACTCAGTTTCTTCCATCATCAGTGGCTATAGATCTTTACTCTATACTCCAGTTTCCATTCTTTCTTCTTTACATGCTTTTTAAAGTCCATCAACATTGCATGGACAACTGTTATGAGGGCTTATTTGAGTCCTCACCTCCAAAGAAACAAAAAAGTCCATGTGAGATATCTGCAATTAGTAAAGCATAAATTCTCATTTGTACTTGCATTATGGGGAGAACTAATGTGTTGACTCTGGCATGTAGCAGGGTACTTTTTATTGATGGAACCATATCTTATTGACATCTATTCCATATAGATATGGTGTTTTCTTAAAGCATAGTGCTACAGATACATTAGACTTATAGTAAGTACAGATATGGTATTTTTTTAAAGCATAGTGATACATATACATTAGACTTATAGTATGTACAGATATGGTATTTTCTTAAAGTATAGTAATACATATACATTAGACTTGTAGTATGTACAGATATGGTGTTTTCTTAAAGCATAGTAATACAGATACATTAGACTTATAGTATGTACAGTTCATTGTGTCAGTTTATTTGATTCTTGGGATTTTTATCTTATCATTATAGCTGCAATTTGCAACCACCATAAATCCCATTGAAAAACTTTTGTAACATGATCTGTATCATTTTTGAATGCTGTATCCCTGACAAGATAATGACATATTGCCTGTAGTTTTGCAGAAACTAAAGTAAATATATGATTCATTCCATTTGTCACATGCCAGATACCACTCTTACAGTTTTCTACAGGTAGTCTTCCATTTGGCTGTGTGCTCCGAGAGAAACTAGTGTATATAATTCTTTTGTCACTTTTATAGGCCTAAATATGTGTGAAATATCTTGTTTACAATTCCAAAGAAGGCTTCTGCTTTAGCTGCAATGGACTGCTATGTTATTGTGTTGCTTTCAGTAACAAGCTGTTTAACTTTCTTTATTATTTCTGGTGTGAGATTGGTAGCTAGTAATGGGGCCTTTTTTTTTTCCTGTTGGAATCTTGTTTTCTCTTGTTTTACAAATATGGCTCAACATTACAGATTATCCTTTTCTTTGAAACACTGAAATTTTATACTTTGCTTGCTTTTAAAATCATGGACTAAGAGAACTATGTATCAGAAAGTCCTGTAATGTCTTCAAGAAGAGGTCAATTTTAGACTACTTTCATTTGTACATTTTAACACTTCAACTTAATCACTGTTAAGGTACGTAACCATAGGCCACAGGAACAGCCAATTTCAAGGTAATTTGGTATGTATATTGTTACCTTAGATAATTTACAACCTTACATTTATGTAAACAATTATTTTTACACATGTTTGCTGATACTGTTTTAAATGGCACGTAAACTGAAAATTTGTAGTCTTAGATTTAACGTGTTTCAATAGTGATGTAAAACTGTTCTAAGTGTGTTTTTGAAGCTTTTGTAAATAATAGTGAATGCACCAAAGTTATCATGTACTGTTTGGAAACCAGTCAATACAAAAATATAATTATTTTCATAACATTCCATTTATAGCACATTGATGCTCATACCAGTGACCAGATTGCACCATCAATAAGTGATTTTATGTACTACATATGTAAATAATCTTTAGCATACATTAAATTTGTTTTATTTATCTAAATGGATTTTATAATATGTTAGACCTGTATTATATTATTAATTGTAATATTGTCTTCTGAAAACAATCTTAGTTACATAATATTAGTCCGCAAACATAAATAGAAACCATTTTTAGAATTGATTTCACACTCAGAATGATCACAGAAGTAGGTTTGTAAAAGATTAGTAGAGTGACATTAGTTTGTGAAGAATATTATTATAATAAATCTCTTCCTTTCTTCTCATCATCTATACTTTCTAAGAAAAGTAAATGTGTATATAACCTTTCTTCTTTGCAGTACTTTTTCTGATAACCTTAATAGTTGTTGTAGAACTAATAACCTGTTTGGGATATTGCATGCTAACTTTTCAGACTTAATACTAATTAGAAAACATTTGTAACAGTATTACTACTAAGGGTGGTGACTTACCTTCTCCAAGGTTAAAGGGTCATGTGAAGTCTGCATCTATTTCATACACCAGTTATGCTGATGCATCAATAGGAGACCCACTTCGAACCAGGTACACTAACATGCCTGTATGCATTGTCCACTGTCTTGTTGTTTTCTCGTTTATGACCTGCTTTTAAGACAGAAGCTCTTAGCCTTATATGTGAACTTAATATGACTTTCTTTTTTATACCTGTCACTTTCAGATAAGGAGTTTATGTTCTCAAGGTTTAATACTGTTTATTGCACTCCTAAATCTTTGTGTTTCTTTACATTATGGTAAGCTATTCATAATTGTTCATCAACACATTGTCATTCTATTAATTTTTTTTGTATCTATGATATGAAGCCTTTTTTAATTGTTTCTTGTATATTTGTATACTTTCCAATTAGTTATTTTATATATTACTACTTTAGCATATTTTCTTAATGTGAAATTAATCTTTTCTATATCAAAAATTATCAGTTAATTTATACAAAGTAAGTAATGGCTTTAGTTCATAAAAGTCTTTTTTGCTGTTTGAGGCAACACTTAATGCAGTTTTGCATATAGAATAACAGTTGATACAAAGAAATCATTTTGTGTGTGTGTTTTATTGCATGCTAATTGAAAATCTTGTCATACCTTTGTTGACTTTCTTCCTGCATGTTAAATTTATTACATGTGATCAGAGAGGAAACCCAATAACCCGAGCACTTTTGTACATTTTTCTTTCATCAAGGGTAAATGGGGTAAAAAATAAAATTACCATATTGCATATGATAATAGCTTTCTCTTGAGAAAATATTCCACAGGAGAGGGCAACTTGAGTGGGTTTGTTTGTAGTTAAGCACAAAATTACACAATGGGCTATCTGTGCTGTGCCCATCACAGGTATCAAAACCAAATTTCTTGAGTTATAAAACTTGTGTTGGTGTTAAAAGCAATGACTATTTAAAATGCTTGTTTTTAGTTAAAGTTGATTTGACCTTTTCAGTTTAGTAAAAACACTACAATACCCAGTTTCACCCAGCTAAAACAAACATTGTAATAAAGTTTTTGAATTGTGTTGTCCTACTCTAGTAATACACTGAGTGGTCACAAGTAAATAGACACCTAATTTTTCGTCATTTAACTGATTTATACTAAATGAAAATGGTCCGCACACTAATTACCTTGTGCTACAACATGCTTAGAACTCAAGGTTCTCTCGAATTGTCAGATTTTGTTAGAGGAAGGATAGTTGGTCAAGTTATCTGTCAAAAATACATTTTCAGTGTTGTAAAATGTTAACATCCAATATGATACTGTACCTCCTCTCACATAATAGCTAGAACCCAACACTAAAACAGTGGAGGGACCAGTGTAAAAATTAGCTATATGAGCACTCTTTGGAAGGCATCTGAAGAGAGCCCATACAGTGTTATACCCAAATATATAGGGTCACACTCATGAGACTGCATTACGTCTGTACCAGAATATACTCTTCGCCCACTGTAAAAATA